ACTAGCAGTAGCTACATAAATCATCCTCCTTTATTGTTTTATTTTTATGCCCTTCAGTTACATCTGCACTGCCTGAGTTTTGGAGGTAAATATCCAAAATATTAGCTGAAAGCTTCCTCAGAAAGCAAATCTTTCCCACATCCTTCCCTGCAGTTCCTCTTTAAGAGGTGTCAGCATGGCTGAGAGAATGAAGTGGCTCCACATTGTTTGCCTGAACTATTATGTGTTTAACATTTCCATAACAAAAGTGCCACTCGACTTCTCCCCGATTAATGCAGCTCGAGGGCTCTTGTCCTCCTTTAATAAAACATTGTTGAAATCATTTATTTAGAGCCCCTGGTTACTAGTGGGAGAATGACCATCTTTGTGCCAAAATATAGTGTATACAGTCCACTATTTTGTAGTAGATCATTCTGTTATTTAAGAAATTGATTAAATGGATGTCTTAGAAAGTATTTATGCTAATAGCGCATTACTTATGTCATTCAGACAGTCAATGTGAGCCTTTTCAACTGTCTACCACAGCCTCAAGTAAAATACAGTAACTTTCGACTTTACTGGTTACAAATCTGCTTCACAGACTTCTCACACAGAAGCACTGCTATCCCATTTAAAATCATGTTGGGCTGCAAGCCTACCTATTTTTCTTGAGCGTTCACAACGGGTACGTTATCACGAGCAGTGTGTGGCATTCTGTGATGTTATAACTGGGGACAAGAACAATATCCATTGAATGGTCTGGATTTGTTTTAGTGGCACTAAGGATGCAAGAAGCTAAGTCAGCCAAGTAGCACTTTCCATGACTCAACTATTGAGGATTTTGTGTCTCCCCATGTTATTTTTGTGTGCACTTTGGCTACTTTGGAAATTCTCCCATCCCCCTCCCACATACTTAAAACAACACAAACAAAAAGGAAAGTAACCGTGTAGTAGTATTGGTTTCGGCGTTGTAGAACGGAGATGGGATTTCGTGTTTTCTTGTTCTGTACATGGAGAACTGTCTGTAGTCACCTGTGTATCCAATACATACATGTTTAGTACACATGCGTGCTTGAAGCAACAGGTCCAGAGCCCTAATGGATTTTACAGGGAGTGGAGAGGAGACTGTAACTAAAATCCATCAGACTTTCCCATGTGACTATAAAGGACTTGGCCAAACCAGAGCCTTCCTTCCTCTCCTTGTGAGGCTTCATTTCATATTTATTTTGAAAGTTATGTATGTCTGCCTGTATACATTGGTGTATATTGTTAAAAATAAACAGAGACCTTATGTTATGCCCATTGTGATTGCATACAAAAGCTTTGCTGTGCGCTTGGGTGATCAGTGAAGCTTGAATCTCCCTCTATTTACTGTATGGTCACTGTCAGTTCAATGAACTGCCTCCTTGTTCTCCACCATTGTCCCACACTCCCTTAAACATTTGTCACTGAAGTGCCTCCAAAGACAAATAAACTGTCACCAAGAATTCAAACCTGGCAACTGGGAATAAAAAGGGAACAGATCCTACCGGATTATTTTACATGAAATGGTAGACGGTCCTTCTCCCCCCGGAAGAGATTGTCTGGACAGGACCTTGGCAAAGAGCACTTTCAAATATCCAGAAAAATGAGAACTTCTCTTCCTGTGGAAAATCTCCTCTGGCAGGGAATGTGAAGCCTTTTTCCTGCTTAAAGCTGTCCTTACTACATCCCCTGACATTTTGAGAATTTCCATTCGTCCCAAAATCACGCAAGAGAAATATAAATTTGATGGACACCAACATCTGTGCTGCCTCTGCAGGCTGGGACGCACACCGATAGGCGCAGCCTCTCCTCCTGCAAATTGTGCTTGCTCGGACAACACAGCTCATTCCACAAAGCTGTAAGGATGGGACTGTAGGACATAATTAGTTCAGCTGTATTTATTGTACAATTATGATCCACTTTCTGTGGGGAAGGACGCAGAAAGATGAGTCCTCCCTCCACAGTGATGCTCAGTGTTGATTTATTCCAGGCAGATGCTTTTGACAGGAGCCTGTAAAATCAAGCCTTGAGTTTATTGTAGCAGTTAATTATCAGTCCTTTTCTAGTGCTAATGTCTTTACTCCTTGCTGAAGAAAAGCAGAGACTTTTTACAGGGACTTAATTTTTCATTGAAATTGAGTTAAAATAGTCTTCATGGGCACAAAACGTTGACAAACATGAAAAAAAGATTTCTGAGCATCTCCCAAACAACTGGAGAAAATATTTAAGATCATCCCTAAACAATTGCAAACTCAGCATTTTGTAAAGAAAGCTCATTCCATTTACAAGTCTCACTCTACTACTCTTTGTTCTCTTCCTAAAGAAACAACGTTTTCAGCTTTGTTTTAACAATAAGCTTACTCAACCGTTTAGATGACTTTAAAAACGAACTTAAGATCATAGCCACACACCACACTCATACACTTGCTTGCTAGCACAACTGTTTGGGGGTTGGTTTGTGTGTGTGTGTGTGCACGCACATCCCGCTATGTGCATCTCACATTCACACCCTAAGGAAATAATAAAATAATCTGCCACTGAAATAACTAATCCCAGAAGCAGGGACTTCTAATTCTGCTGATTTATACAACAGACAGATGTGGATTTGCCCTCTGTCAAGATCTGGTAAAATGAAAAAGGCACTATCTTGCTAATCTGTCGCCCCCTCAGTCAAAGTTTATTTGTGGTAGCTTTTAAACTTCTGACTTGCCTTGCAATCAAGGCGTTTAAAATGAAAAGCTTTAAGTAAACAGCATGAATAAAAGATAAATAAACCTTCCTCCTCTTCCCCCCCCCCTTTTTTTTTGTGAGTGCCTAGCTTGACACAGTCCAAACTCAAATCCCCAGAGGACTGAGCTCTCTCTTTTGTGTTAATGTTTAAAAGATTTTCCAATGCTGGAGTTTATTCCTACTGCAAACATTTCTATTTACAAGGTCAAGTGTATCAGCACTCGACAGAGCTTAAGAGTGTAATTATTTATCTAAGGGCGTTTGAGTGTAGATCAGTAGCTCTGGCAGCAAACCAGGCTTCCGCGCGATGCAAAGCGACTCCTAAGAACAATATTGCAAGATGGGGTAATTGCTGATCACCCGCTTGTTTACTTTCGCATTCTTCGCGGTGGGAGAAAGCCAGCTGAATGGGCCGACCTCCGCGCGCCCGTGTGGCGCGCCACTGGAGGCCCGCGCAAAGAGGCCGATGCCCGCGCGAGGAGGCCGAGGCCCGCGCGAGGAGCCTCCGCACGCGCTGCCCATCCCGTGGGCTCGCCCGCGTGCCCAGGGCCACCTCCCAGTGCCCATCAGCCTCCCGCTGATGAATCCTGCCCGCATGCAAGAGCCGGGTGTCCTCGGGTTGCTTTACACTCTCCTGGCACCGGCACGTTACCATGCCAACGCATTATAAAATCAACCACTTTTTTTTTTTTTTTTTTTAAGTAGTACTTTCAAAGCTGTATTTACTTCTTGCATGTAATTATCCACTAAAGAATAGTAGTAATTTACATCTATGTAAAGTATTGCGGGCGGACAGAGATTTGTGCCTGTTGTGTGTTTTTTTGTTGTTTGTTTTGTGGTTCACTTCCCCCCCTCCCTCCGGCCTGGCGCGCTGAGAGTTCAAGTGTCCCTGGAAAACAACTTCACCACAGCCATTATTTAAAGCTCTTTCTTTACTGATTTACATGTTTAAAAAATACACAAAACCATAGATATTTAAAACATAGGCCTTTTTTTTTTTTTTTTTTTATGCCTCCTATAAAAATACAAGGTTTAAGGCAGCTCGGAAATGCATTTATACAATTCTACAATGTTCATAAAGTCTCTCCAAATAAGAAAGTTAACTTCAAATCTCTAAAATACACTGTACATTTGATGTTCTAGAGAATACTTCATTGTTGCTGGTATCCCTTTACATAAAACAAAAACTGTACCTTTCCAGAAGAGAATAGCAAATGCAATTATCTGGCAAATAGGATGTACACTTAAAACTTTTTATTTTTTTTTTAAATAAATTATCCCCAAGCGTACAATTTATAAAATTCTATATACAAAGAAGAGCAACTGGAACAAATCCCCGTCTTAAATACATTTTTAATATAACATTTACCAGAGGTCAGCACCCTGATATGAGGCAATATAACTTTTCAGGGTATTTGTACATACATGTTCTTGAGTTTAAAAAGTGTCTTTCAAAGATGGCAGTGCAGAGCTCTTTTAAAACAAAAGTTGCATTGTTCAGTATAGCCGAGAATTTTGAATTTTTTTTTTTTTTTTTGTCTTAGGTTAGAGACTTTCACTGGCAAGCTTTTGTTACTGGGAAGATGTGTGTGCAAGAGGGAATGCTGTAAACCACCAAGTTCATTCAAACAGTTATACCCTTAAAATTTAATCGAAGGCAGATGCGGTATAATCCCCTTTTGGGCACCACTGAACAGTGATGCTTGATAAAAGACAATCGAGTTGCTAGCTAGCCCGTACAGCGACAGTTCTGGCAGCAGTTTTTGACAGCTCGCCCCTTCCTTCCTTCCTTCCTACCCCTCACGTCCAACAGCCGCCACAAAGCAGCCGCTGGGCGCCGCTTTTCGGGGCGCTGCTGGAGGGGGGCCCCGGGGCAGCCCCGCTCGCGGCCTCTCGCCCGTGCCCGCCGCGAAGCAGGGGCAGCAATTGCATAGTGCACGCCAAGGACAGCGACAAGCGGCCAGGGCGGCCGCGGCCCTGCGCCGCCCCCTCCTCCGTCCTCCTCTGCGCCCCGCGGGCAGCGCGCCCGCCGGCTCCACAGGCCACGGCTAGTACTTAAAATGGAAAACAATTCAAGGAGGAGGAGGAAAGGAGGCACCAGCAGCGGAACGCCGTCGGGGGAGGGTCTGTCCCCAGCAGGGCCGCTGTGGGCGCGGGGACAGCGCCGGGAGGCGCGGCGCGCTGGCACGGCCGGCGCCCGCCCCGTGCCCGTTTCCGAGCCCGTGCGGAGCGGAGCGGGGCGGCCGCGGGGCGCGCGGCCGGCGCCGCTAGAGCCGCAGCAGCAGCAAGATGGAGGGCAGCAGCGCGCCCGCCGCGGCGGCGTCCCGCGCGGCGCCGTCCCTCTGCAGCGGGAAGCCGGGCTCGGGGCCCGTATTGTCCTCCAGCTCGTCCCTCCCCTTGTGGCTCGGCTCCTCCTCGTACTCCTCGTCGTAGTACTCCTCGAGGCCGCCGTCCGAGCCGCCGCTGCTGCCCGCGCCGTTGCTGCCCACGTCGGCGCCGAAGCAGAGGCGGGCCATGTTCTCCTTGACCGACTCGCAGATGGGCCGCTCCAGCCCGTCGCACACGCAGTCGTTGAGCAGCACGGCCTTGGGCACGGCCAGCATGTCCTCGATGACGGCGCGGCACTCGGCCGTGCAGCGCAGCCCGTTGAAGAGCTTCCCGCAGTAGGTCATGTAGCGGTTGAGCGCCAGGCTGCAGCGGCTGTCCCAGTCGCAGCGCCGCCGCGCCTCCGTGCAGCCCATGACGCCGCCCGCGCCGCCGCCCGCGCCGCCGCCGCCGCCGGGCCCGCCC